AATATATTTAGTTTTTTTTTTTTTTTTGAAAAAATATATTTTAGGTTTTAGATATCTTGAATCATATACATGTACATATATTAATGTCGATGATATCTTTGAATGATGTATTAATAGAGAATAATTTTCTTTTTTTGGCCAGATAAAGATAAATTTAAAAAAAATAAAAGTAGAAGTCATAAACATAAAACAGGTGAAATTGTTTACGAACATGTGAAATTATATGATAGATCAACAGACATGTATAATAATTGAAAAACTAAGTCCAAAATTCTGAACAGAATCCTGAAAACTACAATATAAAAAGAAGAATTAGCATAATGCCATAATAATAAAATAAAAAAATAAAGAAAAATTATTGTTGTAGTTAAGGAAATCACATCGTCTTAACGTTCTTTTCTGGACCTACGTACGTTTTGGTGAAAAGTAGTTTTCTCCCTCTGGCTCTCATAGGTCAATTAGCATAACTTGAAACCTCTAGTTTCAATAAAACTCAGCTTTTAGTTTAGTGTTTTGATGATAACCCAAAAAACTATGGTTAATTAATTTTGACTTTTTCTTGATCTCTTTATCAATGTAAATGCTCTTTAATTAATTTTCAACTTCTTCATCTGAAATCCCCTACCTAATTAAATTTACTTTGTTCCTAGCCAGAATTATATATAAATGTCTCTTTTTAGTTCTTGCAGTTATAACTTCTATTTAAAGAATATATTTTTTTTCAAGAATCAACCATGTCCACTTCCTATAATTGATGCTTCTGCCAACATTAAAAATAAGTTAATTTGCTCATATTATATAATCAAATCTCATTATAAATTTTGGTACATAACGAAATATATATGATGAAACATAATTGATCCTAATTTCAAATGATAAATTAATACACAATCGATACTTGTCTCGCATAATAATTAATTAAGAGTTTGACCGAACAACGAAGCATCATTAGTTCATCTTCATCAAGAAACTCATAACTCCAAACGCGATCAGTCCCGAGAACTTCACCACCGTGAAGCTTATACCAGCAGCCGCTCCAAACTGCTGATCAACGGGATACAAGTCGCCGGGTGGACCCGTCATGTATATGTAAGTAGACGGAGGTGGCGGGCAGTAAGTCTTCTTCGGCGGCGAAGGAGGTCGCGGCGGTGGAGGACAAGCCGGAGAAGGCGGTGGAGGTGATGGTGGTGGAGGTGAGGGAGGAGGAATGTTTTGGAGACATGGTGTACATTTTATTGGATCTTCGTCTAGTTTTCTATTGGTTGAAGAAACTGCGGCGGCGTTTATGATCATTGGAAACGTGAGAAAAGCCATCACCGTGAGTATAGTGACCGTGAGAGCCTTTGTACGGTGAAGTGTCTCCGGCATGCTGAGAGAATGTTTGTCTTCTCGTCCCGGAGAGGATCGAATAAAGAGAGGTTTGGGAAGATTCTCTGGTTAGACGTGAAAAGAAAGAGAAAAAAAAGAGATGAAAAATTTGGTGAGGTGGTTTGTTTGGTAAGAGGGGTTGCATGGGACTGATATACTTCTTCAAGACTATATATTTATGTCTTGATAATTATACAAAAATACTTATAATTATACAAAAACACTTTACAAACATGCAAGAATAAAAAAGAGAAGAAGAAGAAGAAGAAGAAGAATAAATTCTATTTTGTGAAAATGGCTTTTACATGTGAGTTGGAGCTTAATTCAAGGGGTCCCGTATGGACCATATAAACATATGATCGTGTTACATCGAAAATAATAATTAAGTTTAAACAGTAGTGGAATTATTAGCCTTTTAATCCACCGTCGTCCACTAAAATAAAATAAAATAAAATATAAATACTACTACACAAAGTTTTCAAATTATTTGCTACCAATAATAAGAACGTCGATGACACAATGATTGATCGTAATCTGGTTTCAATAAAGTTTAAATGCGTATAATATGTATCACTGTGTGACAACTTGTGTTGTGTACGTAACATCGTTCGTTCGTTGTTGAAGTGAATTAGACGCATCTTCTAACATTTTTATTTTTTTGTCATCACGCATCTTCTAACATATAATCATGAAAAGTAAGGCGAAGGATCTGCGATTAATAATATAGCTTGGAGTTGGTAAGTTGCAGTAGATTAATATACATGACCATCTTTAATTAGTGGTTTTCCTCTAGTAAATCCACTTGGACATATATCCCGAAAAAAAGTCGAAAAAGAACCAGATAAATACTATTGTATATTTAACTAGGATCCAATTCTACTAATGGGATTCTATATTTCTTTGTTGTTGTTGTAAAACTCTTAAGTAACATTACAAGAAGAACAAATAATTTAGAAATGAGTAGTGTACACATTGAGAGTTTAGTAGGGATTCAAAGACTTGGTATAATAAACTGTATCTCATAACTTTATTTCTTTTGGTTACCATTGCACATGCAATTGGAGAATATAATTATTGAATACGTTGACTCATTATAATTACAATAAATTTAGTATTACGGCACCGACTACAGTACTAATAAGATTTATTCACCGATATATAAATTATAACAAATTACGTAAACTTTAATTCTCTTATCTATGAAAAGAATATTATATTAATATTCTAACTAAGATCGAAAAGATTGTGTAGATACATTACATTGACCGACTCAATGGGCCAGAGTAAGGGCTTGTGGCCCATATTAAGGTTAAACAGAAAACCATGGTTGGGGCACTCTATATGTTTGTCATTGCTTAATTTGTTCCTTTTTTCTTGGTTAAAGATTTTCAGCAAATGGCATTCTTTGATGTATGAAAAAAGTTGTCACAGTACAGAAGCCTTAGAAAACCGCAAATTTACAATGCTTCTTAAACATACGTTGTTCCCCTAGCAAAATTTTTAGACAACAAAACGTGAAAACCCTAACGTGGATCCTATTTCTTGTACCAAAAGTCATCGAGGTGTGGAGATTTTGAAGCTAGTGCTGTCCATGGTGTGACAGTGATACTTCGTTAGTCACGGGTTCGAGTCTCCATGAAATGCAAATCAAAATATGATGGATTCAAATTCTTGCTCTCCCCAAATCGATCTAGTTCAGTAGCTGCTTTGAGGATAGTAGTCAAAGCTCGAAACCGGTAGAGACATCTGTGAACGCCAATCAACCGGTTGGTTTAGGTCGAAATTCATTTCCATTGACTGGTTTTGGAACAGTGGTTCTGATTGGAACTCACAGACCATGTCATCGACCATCGTCTGTAGCTCTTCCAAGCTGTATTGCTTCTCCTGCACGCCAACATTACCACACCGTTAACGTGTGCGAGAAGAAACAAAGAAAAAGATTGCCTAATCAGGTGCAGCAGTTGAGATTTACCTCTCTTCTAGTTTGAGCCATGAGTGAGATCATCTCTTGAGCAAAATCAAAGTATCCCTTCAAAGCGAAAAACAAAAACAAATCAGCTTTTTGTACTGAATAAACCAGTTTCTGATTAGGAATATCTCAAAATCGCAATTCAAGTAACCATACCTCATCTTCACAAGAATCATAGAGTCCAGCATCATAAAGACTTCGTTTCTTCTGATCCGACAGCACTAAAACATTCCAAACAACAATGTCAGTGAGTCGGACAACAACAAGAAACCTCAAAGCAGAGTCTTGAACAGATCTTTAGTTACCTGAATAAGCTTCTTGAATCTGCTGGAACCTTCGTTTAGCTTCCCCTGATCTAAAAGGATCTTTCGTCCACCGATCAGGATGCCATTTCATAGCAAGCTTGTGATAAGCCCGCCGTATCTGCTCCGCCGAAGAATCAACGGCAACGCCGAGAATCTCGTAATACGACGACAACGACTCCTTCATGCCACCATCCATTGTTTACGTATGTATACTTAAATCTCAAAGCATTACACTTATCAAGAGATGATTTGTTGTAAGCTTTTTGAGGAGTTTATATAAAAACAGGAGTTGAGTTCCGATGGCGGTTATATGTAACAAGATTCTTTAACAAAAAAAAAAAAACAAGTTCTAGAAGCTTTCGAGGTGACGAATAAAATATCTTGTCTCAAGAACGTTCGCGAATATGGTAACGAAGGAAGATATTATCCACACAACCGTTTAGATATTTTTACATTGGGCGGCTGCTATCAAATGGACGGTCACGTCCATGATCATGACATGACACGTGGGTTTAAATAATGGCAAAATACTTTTACTTGTCGATTCAGACAAGCAAGTAACGCTTCTGCGCACAAAAATCGCGATGAAGTGAATAGCACAAAGTTTTTTTCTTATTCAAATCTGAAAAGTTACTTAAAGAAAACATGTTTCAACCATTAATTAAAAAAAATTGTTGTTAGAATGATTTGCTTTTCTTTAAAATAGTTACTCAGAAATAGTATACCAAAAAACAAAAAAGAAGTTTCTAATAGTAGTTTTAGTTTAGTCTCTTTTTTTTTTTTTTAGTCTCTTTGCATTGCATAAGATAAAATAAAATGAAATGAAAAAAGATTACTATAGTTTTATCGTAATATTACTCCATTTACTAATACCAAAAAATTGTATTTATATCTCTTCTATCATTATTTATTGTTTTGTTTCGTCAGATCAAAACTATTGTTAATGTACAAAAGTACATTATTAAAAGTGTTCACAATGAGTATAATAGTTGGGCTAATGGGCCTTGACAGACGCAGCCTACCTTATTCTTTTTTGGTTTGACCTCAGACGCAGCCTACCTAACTCGATCAAAGAAGAGAGGTGTTGTTAGTTGAAACTGACATCAAAACACCATTGGTAGTTGTAAAATGCAATCTTTTGTAGGCCACTACTCTTTCCCCCCCCCCCCTCTTTTTGTATTATTGATTAATGTGTTGTGACTAATATATGTATGCATTAGAATCATATATAATGGGTTTGGATGATATATTAGTATCGAGATATATCTTACATTGGAAATATAGAAAATTGTTTGACTATTATATATAAAAACATGAATCAATTCACTCATTGCAATTTGATTATGAATTAAACTTTTTATAAAATTTAATATATTCTTAGAGCTTATACATTGTATATTGTCTCACTAATCTGGTTGATTTACTCCAATAATTAATGGCACAAATAAGTTTGTTAAATTAGCTAAAAAGAAATTATCTTGAGAGGTCTTGAAGATTTTCTTGAGATCCATTGTTAGAAGAAAAAAATGACTATCTCAAAGATGCGTGTGGATTTCAGATCAGAAAATAAGAAAAACTTTACTAGTATATAAAATAGATAGATTAAATCCATTCATTGCATATTTTTGAGTTGAAAGTCTGTGAAATTTAACAATTAGATAAATCAAAATATCAATTATTAATTCTAAAGGTAACTTTCTAGTTTCTATTCATCTTCACTACATATATATTTTTCAAGAATTTACTATATTTAATACTTGAAAAAGATACTTCACTATATTTATTACATGAATATGATAGTTCAGTCTCTTTTTCAACTAGTAAATTAATATATAACAAGTTAAACAATGTTTCACTTTCAGACATTGCAAAACAGTATTCGATCACTTCTATTGCATGTAGTTCAATTACTCAAATAAGACCGCGCAAAAGTTCAATCTTATGTATCAAAACTTTTTCTTTGAGTAGTAATTTTGAATTATCACTATGTATGTTTTTCATGTTTAACCAATGAAACTTCTTTGGTATTAAGATTTCCACAGTGTCGAAGTGTTTTATTTGGATGAAACGGATGTGAAATATGAAACATGGGAAAATTGGTTTCAGCTTTCTTGGCATAGGCACATACTCGGAGCTACCTTACGATCGATGTTGTTCCATCTCGATCGGTAATGTTTTATTTGTGCTATTCAACGATGATATTTCTATACCTTTAAAAAAAATATATATATATAAGTCATCAACTACTTCTGCCTTGCTATCATGAAAAGGGAGAAAGATGTGGTAGTTAGAAAATAAAACAAAACGTATAAATTATAAATTTCGGAAACATTAACAAAAATATGCTAATATATTGGGAAAATTACAAAACTAAGTTTTATACGTATTATATACAACCGTAGCTTTCTTGGTGTCGTTTTTATTCTTCTTTAGTTATTAATTTATTTATTCATGTTCGTTCTTTAGTTTGTCGGCTTGGCATATATCGTATTCTTGAACTTACTCAGAAATTCTAATAAATTTAGATGATCAGATTAGTTCAAATTGTATAACTTCACGTAATAATTTTTAGGAAGTTTTATTGGAACAACGTTGTTTTATTATATTATATTTAGATGATCTGCATGCATATATATACAATCTTCCAAAAGACAAGGTGGGGAGTCCCTTGAACCTACCCCGTCGAGATCCAATATAGAAAATATATGCGAATCCATCGAGCTAGTTAAAATCCAAATGAAAAAATGACATGACACATTAATGATACTTAAATAAAATTTGTAAATTAAAAGTAACGGTGTGAAGACATGAATCACGCGTCGAAGACACACCTACCCGAAGATCGTCTTTAGAGAGTTGTGTAGACAAAGAGACAAACGATGGAGATGCGAGTTTGGTTTGGTTTTTAGGTTTCCTTTTTTTTTCCGGGGTTGGTAGTGTTTGAGGTCCATATGCATCGATCTTAATTAATTCCGATCCTCTTCTTTTATTTTTTATTTTTCTTTATTACAAATTTTGTCTAAGTATTCTCCACTTCGTCGACACACCATGCACATATATAATTACATGTATAACTAAGCCCCAGCAAAGTTATTGAATACAGTGCAAACACTTGTCAAAGGAGCAGTCCCGATCTGATTCCATCTTCTCTTCGTTGTCTGCTCGACCTTGGCTTTGGCTTATTCATCAACACTTTTTGAAATTTTATTTAAATCACAAACAACTTAGCTCTACGGACAAAATAAACACCAAAAATATATGCAAACTTCACTCCTTAATAAAGTATATAACGACTGTTTATATAAATAAAGTATATAACGACTGTTAATATGCTCTACTTTTTTTTTCTGTCTAAAAGTTTTGAGAAATCCCCATCTTCAGATAAACTAAAAACAATATTAGTAGTTAAATTAGTATAATATAATAACATGGCTACCTTTTCATGTCATCATGATATATGTACCATATGAAATCATGCATACATATACATACCTGTGCATAGTTTTGCGTTCTGCCGATTCAGATAATTACATGTATATATGTACATTAATTTGTTCTATAGACGTATATACACATAAGCGTACGTATATATTACAGTCAATAGAAAAAAATTCGCCCTCTTAACTGAATCAACCAACTGCTTTTCAACTACATGTAATTTTCTATATGTCGTTGGGTTTTTTCATGTAAATAAATATCATCAGAAATCTGCATGCCTATAATAAAATTTAGTTTTATGCACAAGAAGTACATCCGTATGTATATGAACATCAAATTTGAATATGTGTATGTGTAAACAAAAGAATCCTCAGAAATCTAAAAGTTGATTGCATCGTTTCCGGATGAGCAATCAAAATTCGATACCATAGTATATATATAAATGATAAGATCAAAGAAATTAAGGAGTTATGAAGGGCATAAAAGATAAGGGTTAGGAAATTGTAGAATTAGGGTTTTGAAGGGAAGATCGAGACCAAGGTCGAACAGACAACGAAACAAAGATGAGAACACATAAGATTGCTCACTTTGACAAGTCTAGCATCGAATCCAATAACTCTTCTTCTCCATCTTCTGATGATGTCGACCACATATATATATATACCCCCATCCCAATATTATTATTCTATATAATATCGTTTTACCAAACAGAGAGATATTTTTATGAAGAAGGAACCCTAGCTACTTATAGGAGAAGATGTAAGAATATTGGAGGAGGAGAATCCACGCAACTAACGATGAGTTACGACAAAACTAAACTTGATGAAACATCTGGAGTGGAGAACCTCGCACGTGTCACCCAATCACTCGATCGAACTCTTTGGTTTTGGTTTATTGACTCACGGGTATCTCGTACGTGTGCATGCCTTCGTGTGTGGAGCTTCACACACACTGTATACGTAACATACTGTAGCGTACCTACCAACGTCAAATGTAAGAAAATAAAGATTCGACACCTCCCCATGTGCGAAGTTATAACTAGATTTTGTATGTTGACAATTCATATATTAGTATCAAAATTTAAGTCACCATATATATGAAATTAAATCGAAATAACCATATATGTTCCCCCAATTATATTGATATCTAACTTCTACTGATATAAACATAGCTACTGGCCGTGAACATTATCATTGTTTTATGAAAGTAATAGATTTCGCGTAAATGTATGTGTTTTACAAATCAGACAAATCATACTCTCTGATTTTGTTTTTTGTTTTTTTTTTTGGTGTGTGCATGGCATGGTAGACTTTTATTTCGTTTTGAGAATCAGTGTACCATTAATTTAGCTTTATTTGGAATGTTACTGTAGTACCGTTAATGGATAGTACAATGATGAACTTCAATAATTCTGAGATGAGTTAATTCGTCTGGCTCTGTAATCCTTTTTCTTCGGTATGTTATCTGTGTTTTGTTTCATTTACGTTCGTGTGTGTATGCTTATTTTTTATTTATTCGATTGAATAATTGAATGTGTAGTAATTAACGAACACAAAATTAGGTTTGGTTAACGAAAAACACATTTTCCTATACAAAAAAGGGAAGTAACTAATAATATAGGTTCGGTAAATACTAACTCATCATGCTGGTTCAGATTATTAATTTGCCAACAATATATATGCATAAATTAGTTAAGTGACACAAAAAAGAAAAGAAAAAGGTTACTAATGAATCTCATCCGCAGTTTCCACCAAACCTTGTTGTTGAAGGACTCCAAGTTTTCCCTACCTACCAATTGCGAAAGCTTATTCCAATTCATATAAAAAAACCAGCCTATATATATATATTTTTTTGTTTTCTTTCTCATTGTACTTCATTATATT